TGTAATCATCAAAATTAAACGAAATAAACATTTGAAATATATGAGTTTGTATGTAATGTATGAATATAATATACAAGTTTCACTTTTTAAATGGAATTACTGAAATAAATCTACTTTTTCATGATATTCTAATTTTATGACCAGCACCTGTATCTTCTAACAACCATTTACCGACAACACAATGATTTTATAAAATTTACTTAATGAAATGCAAAACAAAGAACTACCTCCAAATGCTGCCTACGTCTAAAACTCACCTTCCACTCCTCCACTTTGGCGTTGACAGTTGCCATGATTGGGTCATTCTCTGCAGTTATGCTATGAATCTCGTCTGTTAGCTCTTTAATCTGCATACAAAAAAAAAAGTTTCACCCCTGGAGGTCTTACCTTTTAACTCAGACATTAGAACGTACCCAATTTTTGTTTATGCTACAGCAAGAACACATGATAAAACATACACCAACTCTCATTCTGTGTTTTAAACCTCCTGGCTGCAATGATCAGAAAGTATAAAAATACAAAACTGGATCTAACATTCAGTTGATCAGTTACAAAATTTCCTTCAAATCCTAACTTTAAGTGTACAAAAAATATAACAAATTCCATTATTAAACAAAAAATACAGCACATTTATAAAAAACCTGTTACATCATATTTCAGCAATAACAATCTGTAGCTTTTTTCTGTCTGACTTTACCAGTCTCGTCATTGTGGAAGTATTTCTGTCTGACTTTTTTTTCTAATGCTGCTTTAGTTCATTAAGATTTTACAAAAAAATTGTTTCTGCACAGCTCCACTTAAAGTCCCAACACAGAATTTCAATCAGATTGAGGTCTGGACTTTGAATGGATTATTGCAACATCTTGATTGTTTTCTTTTTGAGCTGTTCTGAAATAGATTAGCTGCTGTTTGGGATCATTGTTCTGTTGCATTAGCTACTGTGTTTGGGATCATTGCTCTGTTGTATCATGACCCAGTTTGGTCAAAACTTCAGCTGTCTGACAGATGGCCTTACATTTAACTTTAGTCTCTTTTGGGCTGCAGAAAAGTTGGCAGTTGACTCAGTGACTGTGAGGTGCCCAGTTTATGTGGCTGCAAAACAATCCCAAATCTTTATATCTTGTCACAAACCCTAAACTTTACCTGGTATTTGAATCAGATCAGAATATTCTGGGGCATTTACATGATGCTTTTTTATTCCGATTGGCCATTTAATCTAATTATGTCCATGTAAACATAGCTAATAAGTTTCTGTTTATGTGAGGTTAGATTGGAATAATTTTAGAACCTGTTGAAGTCCTAATATGTAAAATCCTCCAACTAATTAAGGGTGGATTTTTTTCGTCACTGTACATTTGTTTAAAAGGCACAAAATAGTTGAGTAGATTTAACACTGCAATGTTTTTTGACCCTCTCCTTGGGCTGCTACCTTATCGTGGTGGAGGGGTTTGAGTGTCCCAATGATCCTAGGAGCTATGCTGTCTGGGGCTTTATGCCCCTGGTAGGGTCACCC